CGCGGGGGGGGGGGGGGGGGGGGGGTGGCACCCTTGAGGTGTATCACTCCCCAGCTGTGGGAATGGGAAAGACTGACTATTGCACAGTCCCATCACGACACTGTATGTTTCAGCACCAGACGACAGATATCCTACCACGAACTCTGACAGTAAAAGGAACAGCATGGGGGATGCCGCACTGTCCCAGCAGTGCAGAGTGAGATCTTGTGCAGCTGAGCTTATGTAACTGGACGGCATAGTTGCAAGAAAACACTCTCTGCTCACAATGCATATTTGTGATTGTCTAACCATTAAATCACTGGCCGGTCTTGCCAACTTGATATATCTAGAACTTGTCTTCAGGCTACTGACCGTTGTGTAATATCGAGTGTTTGTGTGCTGGAACTCGGCACACGGGCGCATTCAGCACACCTCAGAGACGTCATCTAGGGAGGTTTCTATCTTCCAGCTGCATCTTTAAGCTCAGAAGTTGGAATCCGGGGCCCAGTGGACTCAGATGACGTCATCGCTGGCACTCAGCAGTGCAAGACCAAGCCTGACTCATCACAAACAGAGCAGGGTAGGTACTAAATCGCGTGAGACACAGCTATCCCTATCAATTTATCCCTCATTTTCTTTTGCACCGAAGAACACACAAGAGCACATATAAAAAATAACAAATAGTCCCAAACTCGGGGGGGGACTGAGGGCTCTGTCAGCCCTCACATGTGTCAAAGTGGAATGGCGACGCAGGACCCGAGCGAAGTGAGTGAGGAGAGACACTGATGCAATGCTGACCTCCACTCAAGATTTACAATGCAGATGGACTCAATTAAAACTGCAGTCTGTTCCGAGTAAGGCTACCTCGGTCTCACTGGCTGCAGGGGATTTCTGTCACTCCCGCTCCGTCCCGCCTTCTCTCTCACTCCCAAAGTTTGAGTGCAGTTTGTCTTTTCCCGCCTCCCCCACTTCTGCTATTTTAATCTGCTCTGATTCCACAGTCCATAACTGAGGCTTCCGCAGAGGTGCAGTGCAGTGTGAGAAACGACGGGGCCACTCCGAGTCAGTCCGCGAAAAAGTGGCATTAAAACTTCCCGTCTTATCAGTCACGCCGCTCACTGCAGCCCGTCGTCCCCACTGAGCGTCTCCGCTAAAGCCTTTTCGGCTGAGCTGCGCCGCTGCGATTTCCGGGGGCAGCATGTGACGACTTCAGGAGGGCACCGTGCTTAGAGTGTCAATCCTCAGAGCTCTGGGAGTAGAGGGGGGAGAGCAGCGGCACCAGAGACGCTCCATCCCCATCTTAAGCCCCCAACCCCCGAGGCAGTCACTGGGGGACCGTTTCAGCTCCACTATCTCGCCTGACCATCTCCCTCTGTCTCTCACACTTTCTTCAACGTTTCCTTGGGGACACACGTTCACGATAAGGTGGATTTACACACTCATTAATAAATAAAAAAGGTGCTTATTTTGGCATTCCCGGGCAGGAACAGGTAGTGCGTATGAGCTCGCCTACTGCATCTTGAAAAGAGCAGCTCCAAAAGGTGCCTACTGAACATGCCCCAATGGACACAGGTCAGTGAGTTACTGCACTGCGCCAGTGCAGAATGATCTTCCACCCTGCTGGTGCATATCTGTCATTACAGCATACTGCCGAATCCATCACACGGTGAGCTTATGTCACACTGAACCTATGGTGAATGGTATCCTAACTTGGTCCCTTCATTTGTTCAGGGGATGAAATGGCAAAGAAAAGGGCACTATCGACAATAGCCGGGCCCCGGATCAACAAACAGGCATCACAGAAGCACAGCCGTAAGGGAAACAGAACACGGGTACATTCACGATCTGGGCTGGGGCTCTGGGGTACATTCGTGCTCCGCTTGGGTGGAGGGATGGTAGAGATTCGGGAGGGCGAGATGTCACATTACAGGGCACTTCAGGTTCCGGGGGTCGTACGTGAGGTGAACAGGGGGAACCGCTTTACAGCCTGGGACGTTTCTCCCGACAGTGTGGCGGTATGCAGGGGACGGCCTACGAGAAGTGCACCACCCTCGTGTAACGGCTGCACTGGATTGGGCGTCACAGAAGAAACCCAAGATGGGGGCAGCGTGTCACAATTTATTAAAGTGTTGCGTGCGGGATTGTCGCAGAGTTGCTGGTGGCGTTTTGGGTTTGTATAATCCTCCCAAATCGCTGTCTCTGTCCATTTCAACACATCTCTCTCTCTCTGTATCCTTCCATCTTGCTCTCTGATCGGCCTTAGCTCACAGTGGAGTCCGGGAAGGTGATTTCACTCCCAAACACCTCCTTGTAGAGAGGGGGGAAACTGCACGCCGTTTCTGGGTGAACCAGGCGAAAAAACTCAAGCTTGTCGATGTGAAGGTTGCAAATGGACTTCATCATGGGCAATTTGGACACCATCTTGGACAAAGAGAAAAAAGGGAGAGAGAGAGTAGACATGGTTTTGGTTATTTTTTATAAGCCACCTACTACTAAAATGTATACTGTGATATTGGCTGCTTCACATAAGAAAATAAGAAGTCAAGTAAGATACCTTGGCCAGTTTTTCCTCACTAGCGCCCCCCCTGTGGAGACAATGCTGCAACGCAAGATAAACCCTCTCTTGCAGCTTCTGAACCTGCTGGGTGTCAGTCAACCACGGTCGGTCTGGAATAAAAGAGACAGTGCATGTGTGCCCAGGGCCCCTGAAGCTCCAGAAGGCCTGGCTTCGAAGCTGCTGCCCCGTGTACCTGTGCATGAGACCTACCTGGTGACAGCAGGACAGCGGCACTGAAGAGGGCCATCTCCTCCTCGGTGAGCTGCAGCCGGCACAGGCTCTTTGCCAGGTCATACACAGTACTGACCAGGTCGTCGCAGCCTGCAGGGGTGGAGGGGCATAGCTGTGTGTCACTCAGCCACTAATTTTCTATGTTTCCAGAGTCACTTCCCTGAGTTTGCCAGAAATTTTAATTTTTTTATTTTTTTAGTAGTTTGTTTAAATCAAACATACTTGACTCTTAGGACCATTTGAGAGTCTGTTGTTCTGTTGTTCATATATTATTGAACATTTAAAAATAATTACAGCAAGTTTCACTCAGGTAAGAAAAATTCTTTAAACTGCCTTTAAATTTAATTACAGGGTAGGGGTGTCGCTAAAGATTTTGAGCCCCCTACCCAGACCAATCCAATTAAGCTCCAAACTCTTTAGAGCCCCTGTCATTCAGGGGCCCTTGGAATCGTCCTGAACCCCCCCCCAACTTTATGGCACAGTTATTACTGGGATTTAAAAATGCCATTAAATTATAAAACCAATGCGAGCATGACCACAAATGAAAGAGAACACCTGGATTTTCACGATGCAGGCTAATAAGGTAATGAAATCTCACCGAGAGCCTTGAAGAGCTGCACACCAGCGTGCTTGCCGTCAAAAAGCAAAGTGCTGTTCAGTGGGTTGTAGACTCTACACATGCGGATCAGGAGAATGTCTAAACATCCTGGGGGGGTGGGGGAGCACAGAACGAACATTAAAAGGGAAGCGAAGGAAAATGATTCACAAAGGGCCAGAATAGGTAGATAGCGTGCAAAGAACAACAGGCTCATAGGTATGGAAGATTATAAGCACAAAAATTCAAATGGCAATTCATTTTGCAATTGGCAATTCAATATTCAATCAGAGCATGTAATTTGAAAATATATCTTGCAATCGGCAATTCAATATGCAAAGTGCTTATGCAATCCTTAATTCATTTCAAAATATTTTGAATAATAAATAGAATAACAAGGCACTGAATTGCATTGCGTATTGCCATGGGTTTTTTGCCACTTTATTCAAATGCAATGGCGTCCCCGGCAATTGCATTGCATGTTGGGGAAGAAAACTCAATTTGCAATTCCCAACTGTCAGTTAGCAGTTGTCAGTTAGTTTATTTTCAACCGAT